TCCTCCCTGTAAAGTGGGGGTGGCCTGAGGGGGAAGGGGCACTGCCCTGGGGACCCTCCACGCCCAGGATCGGAACCACAGAAGCTGCAGTGAGAGATCTGATCAACTCACCAGTGGACACTTTCTGAGCCATCTCTTCTCACACTAACCAGTGAGGGAGGTGCTAGTGTGACTGTCCACCAGAGAGAGAGGGATTGACTCACCTGGCCAGCCAGCAGGCAGAGCCAGGAACTTGGCACTGCACCCCATACCCACGACCCTTACAAAAACCCTACAGGAGTTACAATCATCACTGCGTTCTCACAGATAGGGAAACTGAGGCACAGGAAGGCTAAATGCACAGCCAGAGGGGGTAGAGCTAAGATTGGAGCACAGACCATCCAGGCCACCCACCCCTGGCCATCACCCACACTGGGGTCTTGCTGTGCCCTGTGGCAGGGGCACCCTGCCTACAAGGGTCTGAGCAGGCTCCGCCTCCCAAATCTCAGGATCTCCGCCAGCCAAGCCAGGCCAGAAACCTTGGGGCTAACGTTTGGCAAAGTGCTGACACCAGACAAGTGGGCTGTATGGGAGAATATAAATAAAGGAGACAGAAACTATAATGTAACATCGCCCTCCTGTGAGTAAAAACAGACTCATCAAATTATCAGACCCAGCTGGACCCAGCCTGTCCTGTGGCAAGACCACCACCTCATCGGTGCTGCCACTGCCCCTCCCCTCCAGCGGGCAAAGTACCACAGGAGGCCATGTGAGCACACGTTCATGTGCATGGGTATGCACACACACATGCTCATATACATGTGGACTCCCTCAAATGCACATGGTCACATCACACACACATGTACACACAGACACATGTCCATGCAAACCTGCACAGCACGTGCACGAGCTCCAACACACACACACATGAAAACATACATGCATGTGCATCCCTCGAGTGGGCATGAACAGCACCTCGTATGACCCATATACTGACCCCACGAGGCGGTATACGGAAGTGGCTCCACAAAGCAGATGTGGGAGCGGCCCAGACGCCGCAGCTTCGGGATGACAGAGCCCCAAGGGGGTCTCACCAGCAGCCACGGCCTCCTTTGACATACCTCCCTCCACAGTGCTGCTTCTGGAAGACTTCCATTAAGGGAGATCATGGCGACACTGTGGTCATTCCTTTTGCAAAAATACCACCCAAAAAGCAGCCATAATAAGGCCCATGCACCCTGCCCACCGTATAGCAGACATCCAGGGCTGCCTCCCGTCCGTCTCCGCCCTCTCCACCAGCCACCAGCGCAAGCGTGGGGCTCTCGCCATTTCCCAGACAGGAAGGCTGAGGCTCAGCAACCGGCCACAGAGCAGCCACCCGAGCAACAATCAGGAGCAGAGAAACTCGGCTGGCACTGGCCACCCCACGGTCCACGCTGTCCCTGGGGCCCAGCAGTCAGACTGCCAAGGAATGTCCCCTCCCACAGCCAACTGTCTGCCACCCAGCACCAGAACCCAAAGTCACGGCTGGTGGCCCCTGCACCCCAGCTGAGGCTAGCGGGGGCCGCTTCACTACACCGGCCACACATGCAGGCCAGAGAGGGTAAGGAAGCCACGTCTCCCGCTTGTCATTCTCAGAGACCCCCTCTTTCCCAGAGCAGCCACTTCTGCTGGCACAGCACTCCTGGGGCAAGCATGGTTCTGGGGGCACCCCGCCAGCCAAGCTAATGAGGGACTTCCCAGCAAAGGGAAGCAGCCCCAAGGACACAAACGGAGTGTGGAATGTCCTGCCAGGAAGGAGGGGTGGCAGGGACTAAACCCAGAGGCAGCAAGGGCACCTGCTATGGAGGCATTTTGGTGCATTTCTGGAATAAAAGGAAGGGGAGAGGTGAGGGAAAGGCCAGGGTTACCATCACCTCCTCCAGGAAGGCCCCCCCAGATTCCCCCAGGGGGCCAACCTTCCCAGACTGTTTGAAGTGACACTTGGTGTGAAAATGAGCCATAAAATTAAGTGTCCACATGTGTGCCGCCCATCAGACTTTAAGCTGCAACCCACCGCCTTTGCCTCCGCCTTTGCACAACCCTCCAGGCCAGGTGCAAAGGCACAGCCTTCAGGGGCCAGGCAAGTCGTGCTGATGAATCAGGCCCCTCTTGAAAGCATTCCAGTTAAAAAGGAGGGGAGGAGAGAAGGTGGGAAGGGAGGAGGGCAGAAAGTGAGCCCTGTGCTGGTCAAATGCAACCACCATCATGCCAGGGCCACCTCCAGCTGGTTCGCCAGGCTCAAATGCAGCCCAGACCACCAGGCCTCCAGGGGAGACTGATAACCGAGAAGATAAAAAAGCTAAGGCACCGAGGCACGGCTGTGCCAGGCAGAAGGCAGCACTCACTTGGGGCCTGGGCTCGGAGGTCAGACAGAGCCAGGATCTGGGGTCCCTGCTCCCCACATCCTAGGTCTCTTCGAACATCAGCCTTCCCTCACCCCAGGCCTATGTGAGTGTCCTGAGATGATGTGGGCCCAGGGCCAGGCATGTGCCAGCAGATGCCTTATAAGCATCACCAGGTGGGATGCACTTGGGGTCGGGCCCCTGCCTCGCTCCTTAAATGTAAACCCAGGGCCCCAGTGTGACCACTGCCACCATCTGTGGGGTGCCTCGACCCTCCAGGGCTCAACACTAGTCTGCCTTCTCTCTGTCTCTGTTCTTAAGTATGAGGGGTGGGCGCCATGGGTGTCTGTTCCCCACACGCCTCTGCTCCCCCCAACAGCATCTGTGACCCAGGGAGGAGGCAGCGACAAGACAGGGCGGGCCAGCTAGAAGGCAGGGGCAGGCCAGGCGGGCATCAGCTGTGCTGGGCAAGGGTGTGGCCATGGTGAGAGTCCAGAAATATCTGAGGGTGGGGCAGTGGAGCAGGCCCTGGCCAGCACCCCGGGAACAGCCCTGGAGCGACATCAGAGGACAAGGAACTTTGTGCTCCACCATTGGGAAGAAACTGCTGCCTGGTCCCAGCGCTGGGCAGCCCCAGCTCCCCCAGCCCCTGAAGCCTGGTCCAGCTGAGCGGGGGCTCCTCCGGGGGCTGTGCTTTATGGGAGCAGGGGAAGGGGGAGAGGATGGAAAAGGATGTCTTTCCAGCCAACTTGATTGAGTCAGAGGAAAGTTAACCGTTTGCTATCTGTCAAGTCCCACAAAACTTGGACAACACTTCCCACAAAATTAGTGCAAAAAGCAATCATGTGACTGGAGGCAGCCAACGCCGTGCCACAGAGATGACCTCAATTTCCAAATATCGGGGTCATGTTTCACTTCACACACTTCCCTCCGCCCGTTAAGATGTTAAATGGCCCCAAATGCAATCTTACTTTTCGTTCACTTCACACACTTGGCCAAGAAGAGGGCAGGAAAAAGAACCATGTTCGGAGAACACTCGGGAAACATCTGGGGGATCGCAACGTGGAGCAAAGGAAAGGCGCCTGCTGCCGACCTCTCCCCACCGCCCCCTCTGGCCGCGCACCGAGGATGACTTCAAAACGGGTCCCACCCTGGGAGGTGGGGAAGGGCTGTGGCACCCATCCAGGGAAGTGGCCTCTTCATATGCTTCTAAACGCCTTTTTGACAAAAACAAGATGTGCAACTCCACAGCCAGGCTCCAGGCAGCTGCCTGGGGCCCAGCTTCTTGGGGTGGTGACGCCCCTGCAGGATTCCCTCCTGGGTTCCTGGGAGAAAGTCCATCAGAGTTGCTGGCCACCATGCGTACAGGGCCCCATCCCCACCCTGCTCCACACCACTGTCCTGGGGGCCCGTGCCATCTCCACTGTCCCAGGCAGGAACACGGCCAGTTTGCCAGGGTGTCGGGCGTGCTGGTGTCAGCCAGGGATAAGACCCGTCCCCAGAGCTAGGCCAGGCACCCCACCCTTCCCTCCAGCCCCTGATTGGCTGGACGCTTTGATTCCTGCTCACCCTCTCTGGCCCACCAAGCACTCAGTGCCAGAGAAAAGGGAGAGAATATCTTAATTGGCAAGCGGAACATGGAAAGTGAGTCTTTCCACATGTTTTCACATTTTGAAGTGGAGAAGAGAAGTGTGGGGAGGAAGTGGTGCCTTCCCCCCCAGAATGGCTGGCCGGACCGGCTGTCCCCTGAGCCCACTGCCCCATCCCCTGCCCCTCACTTCCCCTGACCAGTGGCTGTGAGCCTCATCTCCCCATCTGCTAATGAGGGCTCAGGGCACTTTCCGGGGCATCTGGTGACTATGGGTGAATGCAGACCCATCCATCCCGTCGGTACCCCCAAAGGTGATGTGTGGAAACCACTGTCCATCGGGAAGCTGAGGTAGATGCAGTGGGAGGTGCAAGAATTCAGGCAGGCACCGAGTCCTCAGGGCCCCACCGGCGGAGCCCGTCCGCACCAGAGGGCTCCTTCTAAGGGCAGGCCCCTGGCAGACGGAGTCCCATGGCTGTGCCCCACCAGAAACCACACACACTCAGACTCCAGGACCAGTTCCTGGCTTTGCTCCACAAAGCTCATGTCCCCGCAGCAAACCCGAGAAACACTGCCTCCCACGGCAGGTCTGGGGTTGCGATTAGAAGCAGGGCTGAGAGCTTAAGATTCTGGGATTCCCCCCAGCGTGCCTCTGCACCCCAAGCCTGGACTGGAATTGACAGGCTGTGACTCTAGGGGGCGACCCGTCCCGGTTTTCAGAAAAGTTCTGCTGGGGGCTGAGTGGGCCAGAGCTGGGCGCTTGCAATGTGGGCCAGGGAATGCTAAGTCTGGGGACAAACGTTGGCCGGCCTCTGGACAGCCCCGCTTGCTGGTCCGACCCGGAGCCCTCCGTCCGGCTCGCAGGCCAGCCCCGCCCGGCCGGCCCGTTTGGCGCGAGGGGCATTGTGCCGGCGTGAGTCCCTCTCCTGGGCCCCCAACTAAAGCCTTCTGAGTCCCGGCCCGCGCATTCCACAAGCCAAGCGGGAAGGCGGTGCAGGCGCGGAGGGGACCGGCGCGGCGCGGGGATGACAGCCGCGCCCCGCCCTTACCTGCGCGGCTCGGAGGCGGCGCCCACAGCAGCAGCAGCAGGAGCAGCGGGGTCAGCGGCGGGACGCGGGGGCGCAGAACGCCGCGCGCTTTCCAGCGGGTGTGGACGTCCATGCCGGCGGGGCGCGGGGCGGGCTGCACGGGGACGCACTGGGGCGCGGGCTCGGCCCGAGCGGCGGACTCGGCGGGGACCGAACAAGCTCAGGAAGTCATGGGGGCAGGCGCCGGCCCGGGCTCTTTGTGGCGGCGGCTCTCCGGCCGGGGTCAGCGGGCGCGCTCGCCCCCGGGCGGGAGGGCTGGACCTGGGCCCGCGGGGCGGCCGGGACCCCTCGGCGCTCTCGCCCTCGCCGCCTCCAACTCCCCCCAACTCCTCGCCGCCTCCTCGCCGCCGCCGCCCCGCGACCTGCTCCCGGTGGGCGCTCCGCTCGGGCGAGGTCCTGCGCCAGCCGCGGGGACGGGGAGTGCGGACCTCGCCTCGGGCGCCGCGCACTCTCCCCCCTGCGCGCCCGCCCTCTCCGGGAAGGCACCGCGGGGGCTGTCGATCCCCGGCCCCTGCAGCGAATCAGAGCCCGGCGCCGGGCCGGGCCGGCCGGCCCCCGCCTCCCACTGGGCGCCGCGGGCGAGGGGGTGGGGACGGCGGGCGGGCCGCGGCGAGGAAGGGGCCGGCCCGCGGCGGGAGGCGGCGCGGGCGGGGCGGCCCCGGCTCCTCCGGCGCGCGCTCCCCGCCCCAGGTGCCCGCACCTGGCCGAGCCCCAGGCGCAGTGCGGACGGTTCCGGCGTGGATCACTTTGGGCCGAAAAAAATGTGCCTCTCTGCCTGCCTAACTTTTTCTTCTCCGTGGAGGGCTGGGGGACTCCTCGCCTGCTTGGAGACTGAACTTCCAGTCTAGCCAGATCGGGGCGCCCAAGACTGCGGCGGACTTGTCAGCCCGGACGGAGGACCCGCCCCGCCCCCTGCCTTCACCGAACCGCACGTTGGGCGTTGGTGCCCAGTTAGGGTCTGACTTTCTAAGGGATCCCGAAGGAGCTGGGAAGATGCACGTCCGGATATCCGTCAAGCGAGGCTGGCCCCTGGCCCCCTTCCCCTCCTCAATCCCCGGTCACCCCTCCGCAACAAGGGGAGCCAAAGAAGACACCCCGCGGAGGCCGACACCCCGTGAAGCAGGGCCGGCTGGGGACCTGCTGCCCCGGGACTGCTGCCAGGAGCTGCCTTTCTGTTCTGGCTTCTTCAGCCTTGGTGAGGTATCCCTGGGGCAGGGGGCCTGGGGGCTCAGCGGTGGGAGCCCCTTCCACCAGGCTCCCCAGGCCCAGGGCCTCCCAGCTCAGCAAGCCCCACTCACACCCTGCCTGGGAGGGCTGCAGGGCTGGTTTTTAAAAAGAGAAGAGTGAAGGCAATTCGGTGGCTTTTCCACACCCTAAGCCATCCGCAGGCCCTTTGAACAAACAATTCTACCAGTGATGCTACATCTCCACGCTGGGCATGAAGCTCCCCAAAAGCTCTTTAATCCCCATCCTGCTGCAAATGGGCGCGGATAGGAGCCAGATGGAGTGGAGGTGTGCAGGGTGCCTCCTGAGCTGGACGGTGGGCTGCTGAAGCTGACTTGACATCCCCCACCTGTAATCTGGGCATCAAATGTCGCCCAGAAAGACAGTGAGAGGGGCTGCACACACAGATGTGGAGAGAAGGTTGAGCTTCGTTAAGTAAAGCAAAATGTTCTTTCCGGCTTTTATATTTCTTTGTTGCTTTTTCTTTTGTAACAACCTGTATAAATCATACAGGATCACGGGAAATGGGCATGTGAGGTGTGTGGGTGTTTGTGTGTGTGTGTATGTTGGTTAAGCTAGAGCCAGTCCTTGACTTTCCTACAGACCTTGATGAGAGGGAAATTTCACCCTCAGCCCCCAGCTCCAGCCCTGCCTGGCCCCGGAGTGTCCCCAGCCAGACAGAAGGCCAGCTTCTCCCCACAACTTGGGGTGCCCACACAGGTCAGTGGCCTGGCTATCAGAAGACAGCACTGGTCAGCCAGCCCTCCCAACATCTAGAACTCAGAGCCAGCATCTGAGCTTTGGCCTGAGCTAACACAGCTGGTGCTCCAGAACCACCCAGAGACCCCCAGAGGGCTGCCCTCTTGGTAACGAGAAGGCTTGTGCCTCATGGCTGTCAGCAGACAGAACAGGTAGATGTTTCCTTTCCTGGAGAGCAAGGGGTGTGAGGCTTGGTCGAGCTGGCACACGTGGGTCTCCACTTCATCCAGCCTGGAGTGGGTGGAAGGCACATGAGCCCAGGACGCTGGGAGGAAAAGGTGACTGTCCAGATCATGATCTGAATTCTAGTAGGGACACTGAGAACACTGTCCATCCCGGAGGGGACCCCGAGCGTAGGGGACTTACCCAAAGGACCAGCTCATCTGGGATTGAGTCAGAAATGGAACCAAGGTTTTCCTTTGGGCAGGAAAGATGCCCAGGTTCATGCAACAGTGGCTGGTGGCAGTTGACCCCACCCCCAACCCACACCATAACTGATTAAATTGAGGGGTCCTTCAAAAATTGTTTTTTTCCCACTTGGCTCTATGAAATCTGCCACAAGCAAGATGCTCCAGGTCCCTTCAACACTGGCCTGAAATGCCAATCATTGACTCCAACACCTGGATGGGAGTGGCCACGTGTTTGCACATGATCTCCTCACCTTCCATAATGAATGCCAGGCTCCCACTGACCCAACCCTGTGCAGCCCGCTCTGTAGTGGAAGGGCCTCCCCACAGTCCAGGGCTCTGTGCACCCCCAGCCAGCCTCTCCTGCATGCTACAGCTGGGTGGGCTTCCTCATCCCCTCATTTAATGGGGCAATGATCCACCTTCTGGGATAGGGCAGAGGGGTGGAACCACTTGCTGGAGGTCCAACAGCAGGTGTAGCTGTCCCCGACATTAACCCAGGCCTCCCTGCCTGCCCTCAGCCCCGGTGACCGTGCTCTCCAGGAGGAGGGAGGCTGTCCATCAGAGGCTGGCCCTGCCGGCTCCAGCAGCCCCCCTCTGCCCTTGCTGCCCCCGGTTCACCCTCCGACACCTCAGCCCTGCCCACCACCCTGTGCAGCTCACCAGGGGCTGGCAGCCTGCCACAGAGCCAGTGGGGCTATCCCCGCAGGCTCAGTTGGGGGCAGGGCTCTTAAATCCCAGTGTAATCGCTCAACAATTACCAGGGAAAGTCTACAGCTTTAAGGGCCTGGGATGAAACATGTCCCTCATTACCCCATTCTCAAAGCATTCTGCGTTCAAGGTTGACAGTGGAGGAGGGCGGGGAACAGGGGCTGGGGCAGGTCCTGAGATGGCCAGGCTTCCCTGGGAGGCTGCTCAGGTGGCCCTAGCAAAGTACCACAGGCTGGGCACATAAACTACAGAGATGCAACCTCTCCCTGCCTGGAGGCCTGAGGCACAAGGTCCAGGTGTGGGCAGGGCTGGTTCTGCAGAGGCTTCTGTCCTCCGTGTGCAGACACAGGCTTCCCGTCTCTTCCCTCTTTGCGTGTCTGCATCCTCATCTCTTCCTGTAGGGACACCCTGTCTTATTGGATGAGTTCACCCCAAAATGACCTCATTTTAACTTGCTCTTTAGAGGTCCCATCACCACAGACGTGTCCTGTGCTGAGGGGCTGGGATCTAGACTTCGACATGTAAATTTGAGGGGACACAATTCATCCCACAATACCTTGGCAATCCTCGTCCATGGCCCTTCTGGAGAAATCCAAGGATGGGCACTGTCCTCCAGAACAATAGGGGCATTCTGATGCCTGTGGGGGTGCCCTGTCCAGCAGGGGCGACCTCTGGGGCTGCTTGTCCAGCCCTGCCGGTAACCTCACTCCTCCGGCACGTGGGGTTGAGGGCCTCATCTGTGACCCAGCCACACTGGGTGAGGGCTGGGACAGCATGCCATGCCGGGGCAGGACACAGACTGAGACCAGCCGCCCATCCCTGCCACAGCCCCTTGGCCTCCCCTTTCTGTGACTCAGTGCCCCTGGCCTGAGTCAGAACCCCCCATCAAGGTGCCCAGGGTTCAAGGGGCTGCCTGGCCATCTCTGGGACGAGCCTGTTGGAGGCAGGTGTGGTTGAGCATCAAGGTGGGAGCCGGCCTTGGAAGGCCACAGAGCCGTGGTCACGTATCCCCACACCTTCAGCAGGGCAGCCACCAGCAGGGCCTGATCTTGGCATCCCTGGCTGGCCCACAGTCTGTGCTCCATCCAGATTAGCAAGTGAACCAGAGGGCACTTGGGGCTGTTGCCACACTGAACCCAGGGCCCCACGATGCCACCTAAAACTCCATGGGTTGACTCAAATGGTTTCCCATGATGCCCTCCTCCACCCACAGCCCTGAAAAGTGATGGCTTCTTCTCCACCCACCCATCCCCTCCCACAAGCAAAGGGGCTGCCCTCCTGTCAGAGCTCGCATCCAGGACGCAAGGGTGCCAGGACCACCCGCACGCTCAAACCAGCTGTGCCCACGCAGACCAAGTACATAGGTCTACCAGGGCTTCTTTTCTTCACGGCTGCAGAGCGTCCACAAAGGGCCCCGAGGCAGGGCCACATGCCCCTCCCCGCAGCCGCCAGCCAAGGGCAGGGACGGGGTGGCATAAATCACAGAGCCCATGCCATGCTGGGTAAGTCAGGCCTGGCAGCCCCACGCTGCGCCTGGCCCTCTCCCTGCTCCCTGCAGCGCGGCTTTCTGTCCATGTCAGGCCCACAGAGGCCTGGTTTTACTGAACCTCAGTGTTCCTGTCAGGGGCCAAGTAAACTTTGCAAAATGGAATTTCCAGGGAAAATAGCCCCTGATGAACAGTAGTCGGACTGTAGACACATGAACTTCACGATGGGACAGACAACGGGATGCCCTGCCGCTAGCCGGGGGCGCCACCCTCCCGGAGGAGGCTTTATAGGCAGAAAATGAGTCTGCAGCCCAGGGGAAATGTCACTTAGAAAAATCCCTGCTCTTAGCTCCTTTAAACAACCCTCCTGACAGGCGGAGGGAGCTGCCCGGCTGTAGGTGGGCTGTTTCCCAGATTCAAATAGCATTTCTGGGGTGCCTGTGATGGCCAGCACATGCCCCTCACTTTGGAAGGCAGAGCAGAAGGCCTTGTGGGTGTGCAGACTCAGACCCCAGCTTCTCTTTTGGAAAATGGAGCCAGGAGAGCCCCCCGCCATAGACTGTGTGTGTGTGTCAGTGGAGAGGCCCCGGGCAGAGAGAACATGCGCAGACAGTTTCTGTCCCTCCTGCTTCCCCCAGCTTCACAGTCAGGCACTGTCCCTCACAGGGGTGGACAGGCTAACCAGAAAGTGGACGTGTTTGGGGAGTCCAGGCCCCCACCTCTGATCAAAGACTGTGCTATGGGCTCTGAGCTCTGGGCTCCTCCGGGGTCTGCGAGCACAGACAGAGGCCACGCCGCCAGCAGAGGCACTATGTGCCCTGTAAGAGAATTTCTCCTACCGGTGAGAGGCTCCTGCCCCCATCTGCAGTGGGTGCTG